AAAAAAAAAAAAAAAAAAAAAAAAAAAAAAAGAATAAGATATTTTTAAATATAAAAACTAAAAACAAATAGAAAATTAATGAAGAACAAGTTTCCAATTTCTACATAACGGAATCGGTAAGCTTACTTATGTGGCCAGACCCCTTTAAATCGTCCGCGCAACTTTTTTCATCCGACCCGTCGATACAGTCTTCAACTTCATCACACCACTTTTTCGCAGGTATACAACGGCCATTGGCGCAGGCCTTTTCACTAGCATTGCACTCACGCAGGGAACCTTGATAAAAAAAAATGAAGTCCATCCTTTTGTGACAAACCATGTTGTGCCATAAACAATGAAAAAAAGTAATTCGATCGAAAAAAAAAGAAAGAACTGTAGCAGTAGCAGAGATAAGACTTTCAAGCGATTAAAAATTGCGACCCCGCCGGATACGACGCAAAACTACAAGAAAACAAAATTAGAAAGTAAAATCAAACCACAATCTTTTTCGTCGGACCCGTCATTACAGTCCTCATCTCCATCACAAACCCAGACCTTGTTAATACACTGAGTCTGTGAACGACACTGGAACTCCTAAAATTTTCATGAATATTAAATTTCACAATAGCAACTTAGGCAACGCAATCAGAAGAAGTCTACGAGTATTACGTTTGCATGGCACTTCACAGAGTGATGAGGAAGTTTCTTGTGTGAGTTGTTTTCACAGTTGGCTTCATCGGAACGATCCGGACAATCGTGCTCATCATCACAAACCCAAGAAGTTGGAATACATATATTGTCAGTTTTGCACTAAAAAATCTGTAAGAGTAAAACAAAAATTTTTAACAATAACCAACTGGAGAATAATTTGTCCAAATACGCGTTCTACTTTGAAGATTTTATCTCTACTTACAGGAGAAATCAAAAAAAAAAGTTCTTTAGGGAAACGTCTGTGCCAAACAGAAAACTGTACCTATCTCTTGAAGTTTTTTTTTGTTTTTTTCATTATGTTTTGTACAGAAACCCCTACCAAAAACCCGCAATAAAGAAAAACAATGGTGTAGTGATGTACCTCTATCAAAAGGTTTATAACAAGAATAGCCAGGTTTAGCTAAAAACCACAAAAACAAGCCTCCTAATTCCCTTAATAAAAATCTAATATAATAACCCACTACACGAAAAAGAAGAAGAATAACTAAAGATATGCATTCAAGCCACAGTGACCAGCAAAAAAAAAATTATAAATTCTAAAAGTAGAAGTTGATCACCAAAAACCAGAAACATATTATTTTTCATAATACTAAATGATTACTGGCCAACTTCAAACAACTTCTCACAAAATAGAAAAATTCCTAGTTGTAAAAATATCTGTAGCCGTAATGTATGAAAAGAAAAACTGGCGAAACCTTTAAATTACAGATTTCTTTTACGAAAACATGAGTAATGCTAACGAATAAACGTACTTGAAACTTTTCTCTCGAATCGCATTTATCAGAAGGACAATTTTTCTCGTCACTACCGTCTCCGCAATCGTCATCTCCGTCACACTTCCAATGGTTGTAGATACAAATACCCTTTTCACACCTAAACACAAAGTTAACTCGTCAGAAAAAAAATAGATCTACTTCAAATATACAAAAGTCAGCTCGCCCTATGTGGATACAGAAAAATGCATCCTGGAGTACTACCTCAAAGTGATTATTCGGATAAATTAGCATTTCCAAAGCAATATCTCGCATAAACTGTAGGAAAGCTGACTTGAAGTTTTTATAAGAAAACTGCTAGTTCATTAACCTTCATACAACCAGTTCCAAATAACATAACATTTCTTTAGTGAAAAGAAGAGCAACAAAAAACTCCTTTTCCAGATATTCTTAAAATTGATCCGCAGTAGATTAATTACTTCTTGAAAAACCCTTCAAAGTACGAACAAAAAATGAAAAAATGAGCCAAATAATCAACCAAAAAACACTGCAAACATTTAAGACAGTAATCACCAAGCCCCAATAAAAGACCGTTTCTTCAGTCTCAAAATAATTCATTGGCAAAAAAAATTCATTTCCAAAAAAGCTATAAATTTTTTAACCTTTCGTCTGAAAAATCGATTTTAGCTGT